TTTGTTTTCAGCGATCGAAATGGCACTGTTGACCGTAAATAACGAAACTCGAAGCCGGATTCGTTGTGCGGGAGTTTCTAGATCGTCGACGTCGCCACAGCGACGGCCACCAAACTGGGACAGCAACTGGCGTCGATGTCTTTGCGTTGCTCGAGGATAGTCACACTCATGCTGTGGTCGGTCGGCTGCATCCGACATGTCGAACAAGTTTGCGTGTTTTGTGGCCGTCGGCGATTCTTCGTTCACTTGCTATGCGGGTCAGGTGAAACGCGACCGGCTGCTCCGTGAGGAGGACGGACACCCGGTTCAAACTCGTCTTCGCCTCTGCTCTCGGCGCTTCGTCGCGTCGCCCTATGCCGCTCGCAGCTGCTCAGTGTCGAAAGTCGAACTTCGAAAGTGGACGGACGGCGGTGGCAGGCCCGTTTTTTACCCGACCGTTTTGTCTGAGTGTTCACCTCGGCCCGACAAAACGCTGCCGATCGATCAGTCGTTCTCGGCCTTTGAGGTCTCGAGTGTGTAGTGTCGGCGCAGACGATCGCAGTGCCGAACGACGCTGTAAACAACCAAGCAAATTTCGCAATTTTTTGGCCGCCTCGGCGTCGCGTCGTTTATGCGGAGGTTCTCTGCGTGGCGAGGCTTGTCCTTAGTCGAAGGTAATGTATGCTCAATAAGGCTCGATTCAGTTTCGGCAGTGACGCGAGAAGACGCAGGACGAGCGGAGCATCGTACATCGTGTCGTTGACGTCTTCTCGAACAAGTATCGGTCGTTTTCCACAGACACTTAGTTTAAAGTACAACCGTTGAATTTGCATGTGGATTTTTTTGTTGTTGTTGTTTGCATGGCTTAGTATGGATTATGGAAGTAATCGACCATTGTTGTGCGTTGAAATTATTACGTTGAGCCGTTTGCGTAAGCAGAATATCTTTGATTTGTGATGTCAGCTATATTAGCAGCTTCTCATCACTTTTTTTTACAAGGATATATCTCCGAAAGCATATCCGCCTCTACCTTCGTCCTCCATGTCGGTAAATGTCTACCATGTTTCGTCTTCACACGGGAAGATCATCGATTGGAGTAAATGGAATATGTTGAATCGATTTGTCTAACAGGACGAACTTTCTTTTTTTAATCTCAGCATTTACGGAGATTATCCGTGCCCGGAAGAGAATGGAGTCATTCTTTATGCGGTCCTGTCATTTAACTCTCAATATGCGTCGTAGCCACCGCTGCTGTATGCAATTCAACCGTTTTTCTTGTTCATTCGTTCAGATCAACTGTTCCATGCCGTACGGCAATACCAACCTGACAGATGCAAGGTACACGCAGATTTTTGTTGAAAGAGACGTTCCTTTCTCACTTCAAGTATTGCGAATTTTACCGAAAGTATTCGAGGTTAGAGTGATCCTTCTCTTTAACTTTGGCTGGATGGTACCGTCATTGGAAACGATGGAACCAAGGTGTTAAAATTGATTAACCTCCTGAAACGCTCGACATTCCTGTTCCACTTGTAAGTCAACTGTCCTGGTCGGTTTCTCATAACCTTTGATTTTCAGGCGCTAACGAGAAGGCGTTAGGGTTTAGTTATAACGTTCGGTGGTGCTTTGCTCCCTTAAATAACCCGGTGATGGGACGCCTGTGCGATGTTTGGTCTACAAGTGCACAGGTCCGAACCTTTGACATCAAAAAATTTGCCTTCCAGCCCGTCAACATCGGCAAAGAGAAGATACGTATCGTCTACTGGAACGTTAGAACCTTGAACAAAGACTGCAAACAGGGTGACATCAGCTGTGCAGCTGAGCAGTACCACCTCTAGCTCTTTGTGCTTTCAAAAGTGCACTTCACCTGCCATTAAGAAGATCGGTTGCCAAACGGATGACGCTTCACTGGTATGGAAATCATGATTGCAGATGCCAGTCAGAAATCGTAATGCCGCGGTCTCCACAA